GTCTTTGTACATGCTTGACATTGTTCGATCAGACCACTTTCTGCCGTAACTGCGCAGCGCCTTGATTTGTCCACATAACAGGAGTAGGCTAAGCTGCATTTCTTTCAGCACGTTTTCCTGGTCGTCATTGATTTGCACCAGATGCGCTAGCACACCCGACTGCCCGTGCGTTGAAAACATGTCTCAAAGATCCAATTCTGCTGAAAACTCGGAAGAGTCGATTGCTGAGCGAACTGTCGCCACTTCAGTAATTCGCGACACTGGTACCAAGGTTCGTTTTCCAGATAATTTCCTCCTATTTTTTATAATAAAAATTTATTTTAGTCACATATGGGGAAGTTTGAAGTTAACTTGGGCGTTTTTCAGGTACAATTGTTATTCAAAGCCCATGGACTGAAGAAACGAAAAAGTTTGCTGAATTCCATTGTGACTGTGTTTAAAAAGGTTTGTGGTTTGCCATGTTTAAAAAATTTCACTTTTTTGTTAATATTTAATTCGCTGACACACATTTTATTCATTGCAAACACATAAGCTGAATTATTATTCAACCAAGTATTGGCAATTGGTAGGCTTGGGAAGCTTTTCATGTATGCTTCCTTCAATACTGCGTACTAGAGATGGTTAAGAAGGTACTGTATGTAGCTTCTAAGAGTACAGCTGGGAATTTCCAGCATACAAGGTTATCCTCGAGTGTCCGTATATTAGCTGATTTTTCTGTTGCGTTTCCCAGCATTTTTTTCCAAATGTTCCACTGGCAGTGCGATTAAGTGGTCGATGTCGAGTTCTCATTCCTCGAAGTCAGCCCAATTCTGCCTTGCTATGGCATAAGAGCTTGCTACCTAAATCGTAAGCAAATCGAGTGAAGAAGTGCTACATCGTTTCCGGAACTCGCTAAATTGTCCTGACGAGTCTTATTCGTGGTTACTCGCAAGCATCTCGGGAAATGGCTTCACTTGAAGAGTATTTATTGAAACGTCTCCAATAAATAATTATATAAAGCTGTTCATAACGTTGAAGGAGGTTGGGATCGTGGGTATCGTTGTAAAGCGGATGGTATAAAGTTAGTTGCGGCTGAAAATGAAAGTAGAACTGGTAGATGGTGGAGCGGTAGAGGGAAAAAATCTTGGAGAAACGGCCCAAATCTGCGAAGTGAGACCATCCCCGTAGGTATTCGTTTTAGGCGAAGGTCCCTTAGACGTCCAAGGCACAGATCCCTTGGACGTCTTGACCCCGCAAGGCGACTCGTGCCAGCAGTTTTCAGGCTTTGATTGATATGGCGTTAGATAAACAAAGTCGAAGGTACGACGTTTGCTATGGAATGCTCTTTCAAAGTGAAAAGCGAACAGTGGTGATATCAGTAACAGCATCCAGCCTCTGATATCTTTCAGCCTTCTCAGCCGGACCTCTCCACAAATGCGGTGGTCATTGCGGGTCAAGCACGGGTGAAGCCTTGTTAGTTCTAATGCTACCTTCGCCGTTCCCTCCGAAATTGTTTTGCTGAAAATTTCCTAACAATATTAAATGCGCTAAGGAGATTTCTTAAGAGTTAGCCGTTAACATTTCTTCACTATTTATGCTGCATTGTGGTATGCCTAAAACAGTCAATCCTATTCACAGCTTGTCCTATTCAAAAAAGTTCACAATGTGGTGGAAAAAAACGGGTATCCAAGAATGCGCTCAACAATATTTGAAGCAGTAAAATTTGGAGTGAAATCAAATTAAAAAAAAGATTAGTACAACAATTTTTACATGCGTAGCTTTTAGCGCATTGCCGGTGCCGATAGAGTGCGAGTTCGAGTCCAGCTTGGGGCAGGTTTTGTTATAATCGCGTCGATGAACCACTGCACCGTAATTGATACTATTAGTAGAACTGCTTTGCATTCATTCATATTGAGCAGCGCCATCGAGAGCTGCGTGTAGGCGAGGGCATGACGTGTTTCCGCGAAAGGCTTATTGCGAAAGGAGAGGCATGAGTCATAACCATTGACTCGTCTTTGGAGGGGAGGCCACGTATGACTTTCCCCGAGGATTCAATGGTATGTTTGTGGTGAACAAACACTCAATGTTCTATAGGAATAGAGTGAACAGTACAATGCATCTGGCATTACCCGTGGAGCGGAAAGATCTTAAAAACTTGATTATTTTTGCCGTGAAATAGTAAAGTATTTGAGTAGTATTTTCGTTGCGAATCAACTCATAATGGATAGGTGCGAAAACAGCTAGGCAATGGCTAAAGCGGATGCGGGAGCAAGAAGAATACATGGTTGGGAGAACCGGAGGGCATGATTAGGCATACCTGTCAAGCGATTCGTATCTTTGGTTAAAGGACGAATTCACGATGAAAAAGCAACCCATTTCAAATTAAGTTAGGATGGTGAGTGGTACACGAAAGAAGGAAAAACCATGAGAAACGGCCCAGAACCCGAGAAATGGGACCCCTTCCTTGCCCGTTGATTTGCGCATTGATGCGACTCTCATCGCTGTGCCCTCTTCAACACTACGCTCTCTCTGCTATCTAATCACTCGCCACGTATAGACCTGCGGCGAGTGATTAGATGGTCGGTGGGCGTACCCCGCCAACCGCGCCAAGAGTGAGCCATGCTGGATCGCCGAGGTCAAATCTTTCGCTGCCAATTGCGCGTCGGTCAGCACCCTCAGGAGGTCCGCCTGTCTCCCAACTAGGCAATTTCCCCTTCTTCGACCTTCGTTCTTATCGTGAATTCCTCCTTAAAGCGGCTAGATAAACGGAAGAATGTGGCAAAGAGTATTTTGCATTGATGGGACTAAAGGCACCAGCAGGCACTACAAACCAAAGAGATTTGGCTCAGTAAGCTCCAGAATTGGAGAAACGTCACGCACACTGAATAAGTGAGTCAGATGCTCTTTCGCGCTACAGGCTTCGTCAGTCGGCTGTCATGCTCCACGTACAGAGTTCGAGGCTTACTGGAACTTTGAGACCTGGTGTACTGGCCACGTCAGGAGAAGCTAGGCAAGCGCAGCGAATGCAACGATCTGGACATAAGTGGGGCATAACATCCTCACATTAAAGTGTATGAAAGATGACAGCGTATCGGTACAGCGGCTCAAAAGATAAAAACAAATCCAACATACATGAGAGATGCGTCACTTTCATATTGCAGAGTGGTGCGAAAAAGAGCCATAGAAAAATCGTATAATACTCGCACTTGCCGGAATAAAAGGATTGTAACCCACAGAGAGACGTCGAGCCTTTTTTGATTCTCGGCTTTGCTAACACCTTTGAAAGCTGTGGTTCATTCATGCACTTCGGCGGCATAGCCGAGAGGTAGTTCAATTCCCGTGGAAAATCTAGCCTATGCCACTTTTTACTTTTTTCCACTTGATAGTGCTCCCTAGCGTTAAACTCTCTTATTGTTAGTCGCGAAGTCCGAAGTTCTTGTAAGACGCCGTCACTTGTCCTATCAAAGGTATTTCTGCTGTGGCTCTATTCGGCGAGGCCCTTTGCACTTGACCTTTGACATCATCTGCTAAAGCCTGTACAATTTTTGGTTATGATTTATTGCATATTAGCATCGAACTGTTCCTATAAATAATACCTTTTACAGCCTCATTCACCGTCTCGTCTGCTTTCGAATGGTAAATTCACGAAGTTTGATTTGAAGCCGCATTCCATCCATTTCATCTTGTGAAGGCTGTCAACGAAAAGAAAAAGAAAAAGGTAGAAATCGATAGATTTCCTCGTTCTTTATCGCTTTTTGTTTTTGTTTTGTTTGTGCTTTGGGTCCACAAACAGACAACAGATTTCTTCTGTTACAACCATGAGTTTACCAGCTTATGCGCATTAACATTGGTGCTTCTGATTTCGGGGTTTGATGGACATTATTCCGTTACATCCTAGGGCAACGCCAAATCGTGTGGATACGTTTGTATGCGAAATCAAACAGTTCCCTACTGCAATCAATCCTGACAGTGCAGAGTTTGAGGTGAGCCATAATTTTGGTTTTCAGTTCTTGGTTGTCTGGTAGGTCTGGATTATTCGCAAAATCACTTTGAAGATGAACTCCGCAAACAGTATTTATTTTGTGTTCCCATGTCGCACATCATCAGCGATTTTTTTTTTATCACACCGAGTGCTACATTGATGGAGTTTTATCTCAAAAAGTCATTCCCTGAATGGTCACTCGCTCCGGTCCTCTCCTAACCCTTTCTCCGAAGGCACAGACAGGCTCTCATTCGCTGCCGTCACCGTCTTCAGAAAGTAACGCCATCTGCCATCGTCGTTGAGCTCAATGACTCTACTTTCAATCGCTTCGGTTAGAAGCTGCTGCGTGATTTTTCCAATGATTCACTGGTGGATATTTCCTAGAGAGCTATTACTTTATTAGCTCTGACTATGCAAGCCCTCTCCCAACCGGGCTTTCAAAAAAAAAAAACGCTGTCCGTGAGACTTCCGAGTACCTCTGGAGCCGTCCGTGCACTATGTTTCTATGGCAGATTCTTCTGATGTCGTCTACGTAGAGGGCTATTATGAACTTTTATGAAGCGGAATCTGGACTCCAACTTTCATTTTGGAGCATTCGGTTTTAATTCAGCAGAGTGTGATTGGTTCCGCTATTAATATGAACACAAAATATCTTTTCATTGCTCCTAACACCTTTGTAGGCAGCTACCAGACTTTCAAGAGCCAGCCCAGCTCTATGCCTCATCGCTTTTTGTGATCTTTCAAAAAAGTGTATAATCAACAAAGGCAGTGATTGACACAGCTCTCTTTGCTTTCTTCCTTCACAGTACAGCTAAGTTAGCTCCATTTGTCCTGAATCACGGTATTTTTTTGCGTGATCTGCTTCTCCCGACATGAACGAACGTGAAATTTCTGCTCCAGAATCTAAAGAATAAGTGGGGGTAGAATTCAGTACTAGCTCTGGCTAAATGCGGGCAAAAAGTGAATTTCCTGCAGGTTAAAAAATGTTTCATGCAAGAAAAATAGCGTTGCCAAGCGCCTCAATTAGAATCCGCTCGGTGACAAATTTTGCACAGACCATGATTACCATAATTAACAATGGCTTCTGTAATGCATTCTCAGTTTTACAATTGCGGATCACCCTCATATGAGCACCTTTCTTTTTTATATTTTTCAAAAACAAATCGTAATTAATCTATCAACAGTTTTATCAGCGATGACACGTATAGTTTTGCCGGTTCTGAAAATGAGTGCTAACACTTCAGGAACATTGAAAAATGTTAATTAAATCAGATAAAAATGTGTTTTGCTGCGCGAAATCGTGCGGCACAGGGTGGCTGACGCGATAAATGTGTTAATATTTTTCAACGCTGTAGTTGTCAGAATAGGTCAACTCATAGCCGAAATTGTTAATTGATTTTATGTTATCGTAAAAGTAATCAAGCTGTTATATTTCGAAATTTGCGCCAAAATTCTTATAATAATGCGGCGTGGGCCGTCGTGTTGGAAGAAGCCAGTATGTTAACTTAGCTAGTAGCGTTCCTGCAATGTTCTTTGAGGTTCCAACCATTTGCTTCATATTGCCAGCTTATCATTAGAGAGTTGTGGTGCGCGTAGCAAACGCCTGATTAAGTCGATCACGTCGTGGGAACGCTGATGGCAGATAAACAAGAACGATTGGTCAGACTCCATCGTTTCTGCTGTCCAAAGGGTGGCATGCTGCGGAAGTTGGGGATGCACTAGCTATCTGATAGTAAGTTGGACAGCTGGGAATGCAGGTGGGATAGCTTCATCGGATTTCACATATGTGAATGGCGATTGCGCGAAACAAAAACAAGTTGTCTCTCAATGATACTCGCACATGAAATAAAAAGAAGCCGTGTAAGGATCAAGCAGAGGTCATGCTCAACTTTTCCCTGTGGACTGTTTTAAACAGTAGGTACTTTATCTTAAAATGGTACTATTGCTCGATTTCTCTTTCGTGTTCAAGTTATGGTTATTGGTTCCGTTGTAGAGCTTTTTTAATTCCTCTCCGAAAATTGTTTTGTATGGAGCATTTTTCTGACTTATTTTCGAGATATACATTGGTAAAGGGAATGGAAAAAAGGGTAAAAAGGCGGAATTGGATGTGGTGGCATGGGCGCTGCTTTCCACTTGCGCTGCCCAGGATCAAATCCAGGGTTGCGCGTCGTCTGCGCCAACCAAGCTTCCATCCTCTGAAGTCGGTGAACTCTTAGCGAACTAGTCAAGGCCAACCCATTGATGAAGCATGTTTCTCTTCTCCATCTAAGTCTACAGGAGGCTAAGAAAACATTTAGTTGCCATACTCTGTAATAATTTTTTCTGCTTACGATTAGAGATAGGGGAGGGGAAAATGGTGTAGGTGGCAAGTGGCGGTCTTTCCATTTCGCGCTTGTCCGCGAGGGCAAAAAACACTGAACTTTACAAATGGGCTGGGCCCTCGAAGTCACTGCGTAAAGCCAAATCGCATTCAAATTGCCACTAACGGTAAGACCTGCCTGTCTTGTGGTAGAGTGCGTGGCACATCCCGAAAAAAGATTGAGCAAAGGCGAATGCTTTATCCCTTTTCTATCCTCTAGAACTAGCGGGGGGGGCCCCATTTGAAAAAAAAAAAGAGGGGCGTTTTGGTAGACTTTTTCTTATCACATTATATCGAACATGAGCTTTTCTGCTGTTTTCATCCGGGAGGCCTGCGCATTGTTATCTGTTCGCTACGATCCCTCATTCGACGCTGTTTTGCATTAGGATTGCTTGGCCACCGTTTTTTTTTCCTCCGATAAAAAGCTTGAAGCGTTGGAGGTCGACCACGGTTGTTGTTTTGAGTTGCTGTGCATGCGTTTCATTTGAGAAGACTACAAAGCAGGGTCAACCCTACGTTGGGACAAGTACCAACAAGGGGGATCCGTAGTTCGTTGAAGTTGTGAGTGGTGGGGGGTCGTGCTTATTTCGGTAGCACAAAATTATATGTAATGAGGTGAGAGAAAGAAGAAAGAAGCGGAAGAAAATTTTCTGTTTCAGCGTTTGTATACCCCACCCCCCTGCTCGACGGTATTTTTCGAGGAAAAAAGAAGTTGTAAAGAAGGGGTCGTAAGAAATCTGTCGTGGAGGAGAGGGGGTTCGTAAAAATTTTTGCAAAAAAAAGTTCCCTTAACGATATGGACCGACCCTGCCTTACAAAGCTGAGCGTCAAACTTAGTATCTCATGTTTGTGCTTCGCGAAACTGGTGGAAACTTCAAATCGTTTTCGATTTATTTCATTCTCTCCACATATTGCCTTGGTGGTGTAAACGGTAGTACAACTGCTCGGAAAGCTGGAGGTGCATTGGTCCGATTTCTACCTAAGGCGTAGTTTTTTGAGCTTATTTTAGCGTATTACTCCTCTATATCGGCTAGACTTTTTTCTCGATCAAACATTTCAAAAACAAGATACCCGGTTGGCAAGATGTGACACGTGTGGGGAGGCATGGATTCTAATTATCATTGACATCGGGCCGTAAGATTACTGGCCCTCAAATTTTATCTAAGTCTTTCAATGAGCAAAAAGTGCTCAAAATCTGTTAGTCATGCGGCGCTAATTTTTCTGTTAACACTCATCACATCAAAAGCCCACAGTTCGTGTGGAGTCGTAGTATGATTTCATTTTCTTGATACTTCAAGTCCAGCCTACCTGCCTCATAAATATCCGTTTTCACGGCTACGTGCGAGCCAGCCAGGCGTGAGTTGCTTCATTCTCCTGTCTCTGATAAAGGTCGACAATCTTAAAGTGAACTGGAAGGAGTTCTTGGAAAGCAATGGCACTTTGGACGTCACTTGCATCTAGTGGAAAACAGGTCTCGCTGTTGTGGTGGTGGATTGCGTTCCCCTGACAAAGTACAATCATGTAGTGTGGCCGCACTGCTCGACGACAGCATTTGTCTGCCCTCAACTGCTCTCACTCTCAGTTCTGCCCTCGTGGTTGTATATGGTGTATATTGTTAATGCCTTCCATTCTCTTGGACTCTCCCTTCTTACCGATATCGCGGAAGCCGTGCAGTTCGATCTGTCGACCATTTTCTGTAAAAATCATTCCTCTTCATTAATTTTGTCAAATTTTGATTTATTCCGCGTGATTTTGCCTGTGTCGAGACTCGAATTGACTTCACTTTTGTGATCAACCCGAAAACATCATATTGTACTGCAGCCACCATGTGCTCTCCATCTGTGTCGCCTACTTTTTACACAAGAAAAGGTCCCGTTTACTTCTCGTTAAATATGAACAAAGATGTTATATGTTTATGTATATGATCCAATCTAAGGTTTATAACCATTTCGCTCGCACTTTACTGTACTCCGTTTCTGGATAGTATCGCTAACCGTGAATAGGAAGGTATTTTGTTGATTTTCTAATGCTGCGCTGCTTCACCAACTCCTAGGGATATTGATTTATTTTGAATGTTGATTTTTGTGATTGTTTCAATGAACGATTTTCTTAAACCGACTTCGTCTGTAAGTTCGTAATTGTTGACATCGAATTGGAAGAGTGTAGCCGTGGAAAGTGCGCCACAAGGGAACTAAAGCCTTCGGTTGATCGCTGCGACCGCTGCCATTCTTACCAATGGCAACATATGTGGCGCCTGCGCCTTTTCGCGTTTTCCCTCTTATCGCTGGCCTCTGTTTCTTCGTCGTACCATAGTTGACCTCTTAAAAAATGCAGTGTTTGTGTGATGC